GGCAGGATTCACGTTATTCACGTCATCCTCTGAAGTCCTTTCCATCGGTCCTTTTCCTTCTGTTGCTCGAACTGCCTCAGTCCCTTTCCTTTGCTCCACCTTCGGTGGCGAAAAGGTGCCTCCTTTCACTTTGGCACGACAAGGTCGAAGGTGAAGAAGGCGGGTGAACTGCCCATCCTTCTTCACCTTCGACCCGGGTGCCAGGCACCAGCTCCCCTGAGGTGCGAACGAAAACGATGGAAACGACGAAAACGATGGTCGGGCTGTCTTTGGAACCAAACCCCCAAAAAAAGGGGAAACCTCTCCGAAAAAATGGTTTGTTGAAGATGGTGGGCCGTCCATTCCACGGCCTTTCTCTTTGGAACCCCACAGGTCTCCTTGTCTCATCAGGCCTCATCTGGTCTCCCATCTGAGGAGCTCACTGTGGCCGGAAGGACCTCACTGTGACGGCGCAAGAAGGAGACCAACCCTTTGGCAGTGGGGTATGTACATGTTTCCAAAAACAGACCGGGAAAGAACCCGACGTCCTGATCGTCCTGTCAGCTAGGTTTGTGAATATGAGCTTGTCCAAGCTTCACGAGTCAACTCAGCTGGAAACATGTTCTTTGACTGGCAAATCTGGTGAAAAAGCTGCACTTTTAGGGGTGTTGGACCTGAACATTTGGATGCCCAGTCCTAAAAGAGGTGCGTGCCGCAGGCACGTCGCTGTTGTGTTTTTTTGCGTGTGTCTGTGTCTGTGTGGGGTCCAACTGCTGATTGAAGCATCTACATATAGACCTGTCTGGAACCCAGCACCTGAAGATATCTGAAGTGGACTTGCGCTCTCAATGGGTGCATCAGTTCTATGCTCAAGAGGCAACAAGTGTCTGTGTGTGTGGGCGTATCCAGTATCTATAAAGAACTGTCATTGAAGAAACCAGCGAAAAAGGTTCCGATCCAGGGCCCCTGTAAACAGCCCCTTGTTGGTGGTTGTTTGGGGGGATTTAAGCCCCTGATTCACTGAGTCCCCTCCTTGGGCGGCGCCTGAAATTTCCTCGAGTTCCGCCCATTGCGCCAATCCAGCTTGTCCGATGGCAACATCACCGGGCCGAACGGTTGAACGACGGTCTGCGGCACCCGCGTGGTGTCGGGGGTGGGCACGGACCGAAAGTGGTCCGTCGGCGGGGCAGCGGATTCCAGTTCCACCTCAACGAACATGTCTCGTGGAGGCCCGAGTCCGCTGTCGGGCAGTTGTCCGAGGCAGCGACGGACATCAGGCGAGCCTTCCCCTCGACATGACAACGGCGTGTCTGCTCTTCTGAGCCAAAGCAACTGATTCAAAGCTCGGGCCAGGACGCTACTAGGGGCTCCTGGCATTGCTACTAGGATTATAAAAAACTTTCATATGGTAAGGCCAGAATCCGTGATGTAAAAAAAAAGTCCAAAAAAAAGTCAACTGGAAAAGTCAAAGTCAAAAAAATTGCAAATTGAAAAGTCAAAAAAACGTCAACCATAGACTCTCAGCTCGAAAAAGTCAAAAACAAAAGTCAAAAAAAAGTCGAAAAAAGTCTTTAAAAAAAGTCAAAAAAAAGTCAAACTGTGGCTCCTCGCCTTGGCGGATTACTGGAGTCAAGAAAAGTCAAAAAAAAATCAAAAAAGGTCAACCGTAGGCCACAGCTCGAAAAAGTTTAAAAAAAAAAAGTCAAAAAAAAGTCGAAGAAAAAGGTCAAAAAAAAAACAAAAAAAAAAGTCAAAAACACATCAAAAAAAGTCAAAAAAAAAAGTCGGATCTGGGCAAATTGGCTTTTTCTTGACTTTGACTTTTGGGATTGACTTTTTGTTGACTGTTTTTTTAAATTTAGAAAACAGGCTCTTTCCAATGAAAGTTTTTTATAATACTAGGAACAAGAAGCTACGAACGAGGCTCCTGGCCGTACTACTAGGAGCGATCGGACGCTACGAACGGAGCAAAGCTCGGATCAGTCCCCAAAATGATCAGACCGGAGGGGGATGGGGTGATGATCGCCAGTCTCAGGGATGCGAAGCATGAAGCGAAGCTCATCCTCCCTTTTTACACCGGAGGTTTCTGCGAGTTCCACATGGATCCACCTGAGTTTTGAGACAAACCAATTACAAAATCACCTGGAATCCCATCTTTCTGGAAAAAATGGCCAGATCCACAGAATTCGTTGTAATTATCCAAACTTCTGCCAACTGTTCGTCACTGGAAAGCAAGGAATTAATTTGATGAGGCTCAAGAATCTCTGAACAAAAGAAACAACTGGGAGCTCTTGAGAGTTGCTCCGAGACGGTGTACATCTCCATCATCGAATGAAGCCCCGACCCCGTGCTGGGTCTGCGAACAATCTCAGTAAAGAGGACCTAAAACATCATTAACACTAGCATGGACACTAGAATCTGAACATAGTATACATCAGACAGAGCATCCATACAAAAAGAATAATCTAGCATATATAGCATGGACCTGAGCATCAAACTTTCAAACAGACTACAAATCAAGTACTATCATCCTCCATTGACCAGTGAATTGAGGGATCCATGGATTCATGGCACAGTCTTCGCAGGACCTTTTTCGACGGACCGGGCGGACGACGGCGAGGAAAGGATGGGCCGATCAGTGCGTCCCAAGTGGGATCACAAAGGCCGCCGGTCACAGCTGTTGAGAACAAGCAGAGAACTCTCTGAACCAAAGGCCTCTTCTTCTCAGAGGCCTCTCAGCTCATTGCAAGCTCAAGAGCCCTGTTGAGCTAGTAGTTAACAATAAGTCAATAAGTCACAAAAAGAGAATGATTAGTTCATATGAGTTCACCACTTGCTGATGAGTTCAGAGGAGTTTCCTCGGTGTCGGTCTCGTCTTCGATCTTCTTCGATCTTCTTCGATGCCCTCAGTCGGCAAAGACCTGCCCCCAGGCGAAGAGCGGCCAAGCTATGGGAAAAAGCATGCTGGTCCACTGCTTGGAGAAGGATTTGGTTCTTGCCTTATTGCATTGACCCCAAAGTCTGGGTCTAGAATAAAGGAAACAGGCCGAGAGGTTGACCAAATATTGACCAAGAGCTTCAACACACCTGACACTTTGCGGAGCACGGGCCATGCCCACAGGAATCGAACCGGCATCAATTTTTGTTCATCTGGCTGTCGGACCAGAGTAGACCAAGCCTAGCCCAGTGAATCCATTCCGTCAAGGAGGAACTGTCAAACAGCGCTTGGCAAACGCTAAAAACGACGGAAAAATAATGAAAAATATGACTGGAATGTCTTGTGAGAAAGGCCAAACCCCAACGAACTAACCCTAACTCACCCATACTGGGCTCATCCTCACCCAACACCCAACCTGACAAATTATATCTCGGTCGCGAGTGCTCCGCGGAAGCAGAGCAGCTCGCAGCATGTCCATCGTCCGGCGCAGAAACAAGCTGGGCGAGCCAAATCGGCCGCCCTCCTATATAACTGGTCGAGCCGCGGTACACGCGAGCCAAATCGCCCCGCCACGATCTCTCGGGAGTGCGGTGAGTGGAGCCGCGAAGCGAAGGAAAACGCCACAGAACGATCAAATCATCCATAGACCCTCCACAGAGATGTTTCTCATCAAAAACCTCAGGTAACAACAATCTTCTAATCTTCTCCCCAAGACCATCTTCTCCCCAAAATACAAATTACAAGACCATCTCAGAAAATTACAAATTACAAGACCATCTTCTCCCCAACTTCCCAACTACCTGTCCCCCCCTCCAGATTCTTCCCAGCGCCTTCCCACCCCATCCCACGGTCAGTGCCATTCCACTCACTTGTGCCTTGAGCACCACCGTGACCAGCGCGCAAACGGCCATGGGCAACCGGGAGATCTCCGTGCCAGGCATCGTGATCAGCCTGAGCGCCCAGCGGTGACCGGTTGTGAACGGCGCGGCGGTGCCGGAGCGCCGGGGATCCATGGCTTTGACGCGAGCAGCTCTTGCAAAGCTTGGATCTGTTAGAACAGTGGAAAGATGAAAGGAAAACCATTTCATCCTTGATGCTTGGAAATTGAATGGAAATCCACTGGACTCCAACTGAATTGAGAGGCCATCATGTGGGGTGGAGTCAAAGACCTCAAAAACTGGAGCCGCCCTGCACTACCACCCTGCAAACGGTCAACCAAACTGTCGCAGGTCCGTTGAAGAAGTGAAAGAACACGAGTTTCCTCATGTTGAGATAGACCCAGATCGTTGAGAAGGGACGAGTACAATCCCGACATTCTTTGCTGACGCTCAGAGGATGCGGAACTGACACACATCAAACCAGTGTCTTGGCAAAAAGGTGAAAAACGACTAAACGACTGGTCTTCACTTCCTCCAGTTAGTATAGTCAGCTGTGGTAACTGGGTGCCCTTGCCCCAAGGCCAAGGCAACGCTAAACCTGGCACACAGAACGATTGACCCAAGAGGATCGAGGAACACACTCCACGGAAGTTTCATCAAGTTTCCAGCACGTCCTTCAACACATTGCATGGAATTCAGGACACTCCAACACTCTAGTTCAGTTCCCCATAGTGCATCTTTGAGAGCAACTCAAAATCAAAACGAGCCAAATGAACATTGCAAGACCAAGCTTTTATTGATGAACTTCACCTGGACAAAAGGAATGTGTGGCCAATATAAAAATGAAAAACATAAACAAGAACACATCTTGTTACTCGTCGTAGCAAGTGCATCGCTACTAGTAACAAGTGCATCGCTACTAGTAGCTTCTTGTTGCTGGTAGTAAGGCACTTGTTACTAGTAGCGATGCACTTGCTACTAGTAAGCCAAGATGGATGCTACAAGTCTCTCAACATGGCCATCCGTGCCGATTACGACGCAGGTGTTAGGACATCCGGTCACGGGTCACCCAAATCCATGACGCGTCACGACGTGTCACAAGCCGACGACGGGCACCATTCAAGGAGCATCATTAACTCATTGACTAAGCCAAACTCTGTGTAATATGATACCCATCACCATATGGATGGGGGAGTCAACTCCCCTCATTTTATAGAGGATATGGGGTTGGGTATATAAAAAATATCCAAAAAATCTCCCCCCCCCCCAAGGCTCCCGCGTGAGCCAGCCATGTCCCAGCAACCGGTCGCTGGACGTCCTGAGCTCCCCCACATCATCATGGTCTTAGCTGTCTCCTCATCTTGGTCACCTCATCTCAGCTTTCAAAAGGCTATCAATGGCCATGGCCACAGACTCCACATCCAGCCGCGGTCCCCGTTTCTGCAGAATCCCCGAGATCGCCCTGAAGGGCGATCTCCCAGGGTGAAGGGAAAGCACACAGCACAAAGAAACGCTTTGGAGAAGCACATCTTGGAGAGGCTTTGGGTGAAACTCAAGAGGTTTGGGTTTTGCCGACATGCTTCCTTTCATCCATCGAACAAGGCCTCCTGAAATTCTCTGGACTTCACAGAAGGGCAGGGAAGAAGTCTTAAGAACTACGATGGGTCCATCTTCATCTCTTTTTCGCCGGGGTGCGCAGCAAGGCGGGGCGGTGGATCCGGAAGCACAGCCACAAGGACTGCGGCAGCACGAAGACGGTGGCAACACTGCCGTAGCACCTCACTCCACCCGGCCCCCGGTCCGCCCGAGTCCCGGCCACCCAGCCGAGCTCGGAGGTCCAAGACAGGGGGTGCAGGGGAGCGCGCGGCTCCTTTGCGCGGAAAAGAAGAAACAACCATGAAAAGACGGCGCCGGGAAGAGATGGATTCAATATCATGAAAATAGGCTGCTGTGATAGGTGGGTGTTCCATGAAGATATTGATTCTGCCACCTCCCTTGCAAATTTCATCCATCATATCCGGTGAGTCCAGGTTTCTGGGCTCATGCCGCGTGCAGTTCTGCGTACGTGATGCGCACGTCGTCACGCAGTTCTGCCAGGGTGCCCGTAGATCCAGCCGGCCATGATGGCTAAGATGTGTGCGGCTGCCAGCAGCAGATAGTAGTAGACCAAGGAGGCCTAGTCTGCGGCGCCTCTCCAACCCACAAACCCCCAAACCAAGGTCCGTGATGGTGCAGAGCCTTTGAAGAGGAAGTTGGGAATTGTGGTAGACTTGAGGAATCTGAACAAAATTCCTGCCAAAAGAGGGAGTTCAGAGCATCAAATCACCCGTGAAATCCCAAACGTCCTTCCTTCCCATTTCTCCCCATGTCTCGCGCACGAAGCTTGCCTTGGGACCCAAGACCACAGCCATGGTTCGGGCGCCTCTGCGGAGGTTTGGAAGGACGTGATGGCAGGTGGCCTCTGTAGATCAACAGGTGGTTCCCGAAATCTTCTCGATTCTACTCACTCCTGGTCCACCAGGCACCCTGCAACCCTTCTGCCACTAGTTCAAAATCTGTGATTTTGACATCAAAGAAGACCTTTCAGGGGGCCTCAGCATAGGCAATCCTCTCCCCCCGCGCTTAGGCAGCTGACCCCCACATCAAGAACCGCACGAAGACATGATGCTCGTCGTCGCCACGCCAGGGAGTCCATGTGCAGGTGTCTATCACAAGCTCCCCCAGTCCCAGCTCTGTCATGTTAGGTCTCACACGTCGACTACAGTACTTCTGGACGCTCCAAAAAAAAATGTTCTGAAATTTGTCCTCTTGGATGTCCACACCGCACCAATACCTCCAACTTTCTGGCTTCCTGACCGGCCGCGGTGCACGAGCAAGTGCTTGGCACTTGCATCAAAGAGGCCCAGATCAAGAGAGTCACCGTCGCGATGTCCACCGTCGCGGCGATGCATCACTTCGCACTGCTTTGCATCGCGAAGTCGTTGAAAGCCACCGCACACGGGGCATGCTCCGGTGGATAACAAACTGGCCAGTGGGGATCCCAGGAAAACTGGCCATGGCACGCTCTGGACAAGTAAAGAGAGGTCACACACACACAAAACATCAAAAAAACTGCTCAGCCAAACAAGACCTCGCTCTCCTCATCAGAGCCAGAATAACGCACAAAGGCAGGGTAGGAGCATCTCCTGCTGATCATTCATGTTGATCCTGTTCGCTGTGGTTTACAGTATATATAGTTTGCATTTGCACGCATTTACACTGTACACCCGAAAATCCCACAAGCGCTCAAACGTAGACGGATCTCTTCAACCCCCACCCTACAGATCTCTTCAACTTACGCAGTCTGCAGTCTGCAGCCTGCTCAGTCAGCCCCTCAGCGCAGGTAGCTCTGGCTGCCAGTCATGATCTTGTACCAAGACGGAGGGGCAAATCCTGCTGACCGCTGCGGGGGGCGGGAATTCAGTTTCCGGTCCATGCGGTGTTTCATGGAGCAGTGGACCTGTTGGAGCGTCAGAAGTGTTCCCACGACCTACACGTCCCTGCCAATGGTCCCAGCTTAGTCTGCTAAAGCTAGCTCATTCGACTGCATGAGCCCAGAAACAGAGCTCGTTCGACCGATACGATCGCCGCCGGTGGCCTCCACGAATACCGCGGTAGGGATATTTCCTCTTGTCATCCACGTATTCGCGCCAATTCACCAAGGATGCGGAGCCGTTCCTCGGGATTAGTAGCAAGAAGCTAGTAGCAACAAGTGCATCGCTACTAGTAACAAGGGCATTACTACTATTTACTAGTAGCAAGAAGCTAGTCCCCCCAAAGCTCGAAGCCGGAGCAAAGCTGGTCGGTGACGAAAGGTCGGTACGGCCCTCCACCGACCGGTCCGGTTGGTCTTCATATGTCTACGCTACTGGAGATTGGTCCATGTGGCAGCATATCCGACAGACATTCCACAGGAGTGTTTTTCAGAGTGGGGCGCACAGGGTTCACTCAAGGGTGGACCTGTTGGTGAGCTGTTGGGAAGGAGTGAAAGGGTTCTTCTTTTGGCGTGATGTAGTTGCATAGTCCAAATGCGGGACGTTTTATTGATCAAGAGCCCACATGGTAATCTCACTTTTCAGAAAACTATGGCTTCAAAGACTTAAACAGTCCACTGCTTCAGATTCCTCGGCCACTTCAATGAACCTGCAATTTCCTATTCTTCAGTGTTCCCCGCCCAAAGGTGAAGCCAAAACCTTTCAGCGTGCAGCTGCGGGTGGATGGCACCTGCAGTGCCATTGAACACCTAAAGTGGCATTGAACACCTAAATTGCATGGCTAGGCACCACAGTAGGGGCTCGGCTACGCATTTCGACCCATACCCAGACTCGGTTGCAACTTGCAAATGATTTCATCAACCGCCTATATAGTTGTCCTCTCACCATTGAATTCCCTCTACCGTTGAACCACCACCCCACTCCTCTCTCCCCCGTCCAAACTGTGCCCGCCAAAGTGCACATTCTCCCCCGATGGCACCTCACGGCTGAAAAATGCCCCTGAAAGAACAGTTATATAATATTATATAGCTTATTATAATAAGCGCCCGTGCAGAACCCTTATGTTATATGGCAGAACCTTATTATATAGCTTATTATATGTCAACCCTCTAAAGAGGTTTTGCCACCCCATTGTGGAAGCGCCCGTGCAGACGGTCCGCAAGTTCGTGCATCCAAATGGGGTGGTTTTACTAATCAAGAGTCTACATTATTAACCTCCCCCCCGCCAAAAAAGAAACAAAACATAAAGAAACACCTGGGCATGGCTGGACTTGGTAAGGGCCATGTTCCGACAAGCAGCAGTGCTTGAACAAGGGAAAGCAGGTCTCATCCAAATCGATCGATTTTTGGCACGTTTCCTGAGGTTCCCACCTGCCTGCAAAACCTCTACCTGCCTGCAGCCGAGAAAACGAAGCCATGAAGACGGCCCAAAAAAAGAAACGTCCATCCGATGCTTGCCCTGACTTGCCGAAGATGGATTTGTCATCTTCTAAGACTTCAAAGGGCACTGACTTTTCTGTTTACAGAGCATACCTTCAAAGGGCGTTGACTCCGTACCTATGAAGCCTGCCTAGTATGCAGTAAAATCTCCCTGCCATGCAGATATCACTCATCAAGACATATCAAGACTCTGAGTGATGTTCTAAATGAAACCTCTTGACCGCCTCTGCCTTTCTGAGTCCTACGACTTGGCTCACCAAACACGCACCCTGCGCAATCTCCGATGATCTTGATGTAAACCCTCCGCTGTAGTTTCGTCATGCAACTCGTCGGCGTTGTGCTTGTGGAATGCATCTTGCAGCCCAGCGGCCAACTGTCGCGGGTTGGTAGGTGTGGGGCGAAGACGGGCTAAGACTTGCTGGCGACTTGTCCTGGCGTCAGAAATGCTCGAAATTCCAGACGTCGGAGTGGCACCATGGTGTGATTGGCGTCACGGAGGACTGGCGTAACGGCGGATCACACGAAATCCTCTTCCCAAGCTTCCCATGGCTTTCCGTGGCTTCCCATCACTTCCCCGTGCCGAGCGACTGGTGAGGTTCCCCGTGCACATCCGTGCACCGCTTGGGTAAAACTGGCTTTCAGTACTTTGTGCCCGGAAACGGATCAGCCAAAACATGCGGTGTGCTGCGGTGTAAACCCAAAAGTCAGCTTTCCATTGGGTCAACGGAAATCCAGGAATATCAAGTGTATGCCGCTGTGTGCCTATATCATCATTTCTCCCAAAAGCTCTTCACAGGCTGAAACTGATGCTTTCATCAGCCAAGCACTTCGCCAAGGTGCGGTCGTCGCAAATCAGGACAACTGGCCCAACTGGCCTCGGTCTTGCGCACCAAAGAACCCATGACAAGATCATTTCAATTGAATTGAGTGTCAGGTGATGGGTCGGTGGAGGGGGACTCCCTTCATTCCATGCACCACTTGGAGGACACTCAAACCTTAGTGTTCCAGCATATGCTCACCGAACCTTCTTCAAGCGCCCACTCAGAAATAGCAAGGTGTTTCGCCTGCCCCAGTGGCCTGCCACCAAGGCACCGTGGAGCGTGGCTCCGAGCCCAAAGACGTGTTGGAGCCCAGCGAACCGTTTGAGTTCCTGGCCGACCCATGGGTTTGATCATGTGTCCTAAGGGATAGACACCCAGCAGGTGCTTGAGGTGAGGCTCAGCCATGCCAACCAATCACCCCAACAGCTGGGAACGTGAGGGAACCGCCTGTGAGGGAACTGTCCAGTTTCAGTCTCCGATTCCTTGACAAGAATGTCACGCGAGTTCGGGGAGACTGCTCAATGATGTTAGAATCTGTCCACTGTCAAAGTGATGGGTGGGGTGGTTTGGGATGGGAGGCGAGAGGCGATCGGCTTAGCCGCCGACCCATCCATCCCTCTGAGCTGCTAGTGGCATCGGATCCATCCGAAAAAGGGCACCATCTGTTTCACTCACCATGTACAACTCAAAAAAAAAGACACACATCGACTGGCACAAACCCACCGGCAGCCACACCTGAGCTTGTCTCGCCCCTGAAGCGGAGCGCCCAGCCGGGGGGGTGGGGTCTACAGAGGAATTTAGATAGCCTTGGGCTGAAATTGGGACTGCCCAAATGGGCGATGAGAGGTGCCTGGAAACATACATGGTTACATGAACCATTTATCTTCAGCTCTCAAAAAGACTTGGACGGATCGCGAAGGCTTGAGGCAATCTCGGTGCCTCAACAGGACAAGTCCTGCAACTCTGCTGCTCATTTCAAACCCCGTCAGCCTCCCAACCAACAGTTCCGAGCTTCAATGCACCCCGTCAAAAGGCTCCCAACAACAAGAAACAATTGGTTTTATCTCAGTAGAGAACTTCTGATCAATGTTCCGAAGGTTGGATAGATCCAAAACCTTTAATACTCTCCCCTCGCCTTCTGCTCCAGCTTTCCTGGCGCACTCACCGGGCTCAAGGCACTCGGGCTGCTGGGCGACGTGGCCCCCGTCGGCGACATGGCCCCCGTCGCGGCGCACGCGGCGCTCGGCGCGGCGGGCGGCGCGTTGGGGTTCTCAATCTCCCCCCAGGCGAGTCCTCAGTGCGGCCGCGGGAGTCAGAGGTCCGGAGCCCGCCGTCGGGAGTGAGTGAGTTCACGCAGTTCGGTTCGTCCTTGGATGGATCCGGGATATTTTGGGGAGGGAGGAGTTGCTGCTCAAGTCCTCCTAGTCTTTCAATTAAGGAATAAACAAAACGACAAGGACGTGACATACAAGGGGCATCTCTGATGAATGGTTTACATATTTATATACAAATATTTATATTCAACATACTGGAGTTCCCAACTTGCTTGCTGATGTCCGACAGTTTGGGCGGAAGAATGGCGCGATCCTTGGGCACCCGGGCGACATTCAAATTGTGCTTGGGGCGATGGAATCGACTTGGAGCCCTTCAGCCTCGGCGACCGGCGCGGACGACGCGGACGACGCATGCGGATCCGCCTCGCGCGCCGCGCGCACGGGACGTGCACGGGACGTGCGTTCAGAGGAAGGTGCGGAAGGCAGTGGTCACAAACGCACCGCTAAGGAACGCTGTTTTGGGGCTTCGGGAAGGTGGTGCAGTTCTGGACAGCAACGGTGGTGTTGGAAGAAAGACACGTTCATCACTTGGAGTTGGATGATGGTACGAAGTTAGCAGGACAAAGGTGAGACGAGTTCTTCAAATGCACTCTAACCAAACCCTATAAAATCAAGAATGGCCCCCCTCATGAACACCGCATGCTAGTTCTGAAAGCAAATGGCCAACGTTGTACATTGTAAATAATTCCAGACAATGTGATGTCAGGATGTCTATTTAATTTGCCTTGGATTAGGATCTAAGAGGAAACTCAGCACTCCTTGCTGTCACTTCATGACTTCAACTGCTTCCCCCAATTGGAAACCTCCTTGGCTCGGGCTCGCTCCATCCTCCCTCGTCCGCTCCACCCTCCGCGCCTTCCAGATCTCCCTGACGAGATCTCCGAGAGGTGTGCTGGGCGTGGCATCGAAGGCTTCTGATGAAACAGGGGTCAATCACAGTGCGACACGCAGGACGAGGCAGGGGAAGGTGTTTTGGAGGTGTAGATCAGTGACACTTTTGACTGGAGTGGCAAAGGGGAGATGAAGGCAAAGCATGTGCTCTTCCGGAAATGTGCTGTAGTTGATGGCCATCGAAATACTGGCCAACCAGAAAAAAAACCTTCTCGAGCCAAGAACCTGCGAGTTGTGCTTCGCGAGTCGCGGGAGCTTCTGATTGAAAGTCTGAAACTTGGTCCGATCTCCGTCTGAAACTGATGTGGACGACTTAGTCATCCAATGCAAGATTTCTTGGACGCAAACTTCTGGATTTCAGTTACTGCCATGTTTGAGTCAGCTCTGCTAGTGTAGCAAAAGCAACTCCCCACAAGATTCCTCACAAAGTACCTCCTCAACCTCAGCGATATGCCAAAACGCCAGCAGAGCGGGCCTCCTCGCCGGTCCGCCTCGATGTCCCGGTAGTTGTTGGCATGTAGAATGGCCACCACATAGAGCGCCGCCTCGTGTCGTGCGCACCCCACGGAACTCCGTGGTTTTGGCAAAAAGGGAAAAAGCGCGAAGAAGCGCGAGCAGCAGAGTCATGGCTCTACAGGTATGAAGAAATGCAAAGCATCTGGGAAGTTGGAACCTTTGGTTGGCCAACCTATCATGTTGGAGTCATATGCGCATGATAGGCACGTGACATGTGTGCGATCCTGTGGTTGATGAACAGTTTGCCATCCCCTTCCTTCGTCCGACAGGGCCGATCACAACGGCAAAGTAAAAGAGGTTGAGGGCAGAAGTGATTCCTCACTCTTCCATGATATGCACTGCAATGATCAGGGATCCCAGTGCAAAGGTCTATCCATCCTGTAAGTCACTGCAAGACCGAACCCAGGTCTTGGCTGCCACAAACAGTGCAAACCCAGTTTCTGTCAACTCTTGCAGAGTGTTCTTTCTCCCTCCGACCAAACCGGATTGCTGCCTCTGTTGGGTTGCCATCTGCAAACCAACAGAGGTTGAAGAACCCTATAGACAATCCCATAGGTACTCCGGTACAGTGACGGGTCCTGTTTACGGTCACTAGACGATGTCTGTTGGAAGGTCCTACGGTCACGTCCCAAACATCACCAGCGACTGTGCCGGGCTCCAGGCCGGGAGCGTCAGCACCAAGCCCGCTGACCTGACACGTCCGTCGCCGGAAACGGCGTCGCCGGACCAAGGTGTAAACCTCTCCCTCTCCTTTTTACGAAAGGAAATGACTAGCAAATGGAAATCTCTCTGTATAAATTCTTAAGAAGGTCTGGCTGCAGCCGTCTTTACAGAGCCGTCTTCTCAGCATCTCTCAGAGCCCCAGCTGCCTCATTAGCGCTTTAGGGGACTCCCGGACAAACATGCTGGAGCTTCACCGACAAACAGAATATGGGAACAACGTGTGTACGTACCTGTATGTATGTCTGTGTCTGTGTGTGTGTGTCTGTATGTGTATGTGTGTGTGTGATGCTGCAGCTGAGCTGATTCGACTACGGCGTCTTGGGCAGCGGCCAACTCGATTTCGAGGCACCAATATCGACAGAGTTCCTTTGGTAGATCTGGAGCCAGGTCGAGTCCCAGGTTCACCTTCTTGCATTTTCTCTCCTGAAAACACTGAAAAAAAAAAAAAACTGAAAAAACACGATGCCTCTGGATCTGGGACGCCACACGGCACGGAGCCAACAAGAATCTCAGAGCTGTAAGCGAGCACTCCAGGGCCAAAGCAAATGAGCACCTGAAGGACTCGAAGAACAGAACCCCGGGGGCGCAGGACCACCTGGTGACCTGGTGGACCACTTGGGAACTACCTCCCTAGTAGCGTCCTTGCTCCTAGTAGCGCTGCCCTTTTCTCATAGTACCGTCCTTGTTCCTAGTAGTAAGGCCAGGAGCCCCGTTCGTAGCGTCCTTGCTCATGAACTGTGAACATCTGCGAACCATGGCATTCCATGGCCGCCAGGTCCATGTCGCTCAGAGTTACGCGGAAAGCATGTCGCTCGGCCTCCGCACGGTGAGATCACCCAGGCCCAAGTACTTCAGAGGCGCTGGACCCGCCGTGTAGCCCAACGCCTCAAGTCTTTTCAGTCCCACGGCGCATGGGGAGGACGAATGGGCGACCGAGTCTGCACCCGGAGAGGTCCGGTGGAGAGGTCGGGCAAGTCGAGTGGGTGGGCAAGTCGAGTGGGTGAAGGTTGTGAGCTGCTCAAAGCACCTGCCAAGTTTCACCTGAACTGCTGCCCGAAGATGGTGGTCTTATGTGCTTTTGTGGAGCCAAGATGTTGGCACTTACGGTGTCCAGTTGCATGGCATCCTCTCTCGGACCCAAACCAGAAGAGTTTGTCGCGCGCGCTCCGTGCCCAACCAGGGCTCCCCACCAGGCACGTGCCCAGCGTCGCCCAGCCCAAGACTGGCCGGTCCGGTCGCCGTCCGACGGTCGAAGCTGCACAGAATGGTTAGACTCGAGCTATGCAAGCTGAAGGGCTCATTCTCTTCAAAAGTCTTAAGCAATCCACATGAATGTATATGGATCTGGCATGGCAACAAACGGTATTGCTGCTGAACAAGTGCAGCGCAACTACAGCAGTTGCTGTCCTTCAAAGGATACAAAAGAGCTTCATCCCAAGCCATGTTGCATCACAAATAATTAGGCAAATGGTCCAGGCTTGAAGCTACACATCTTCTTGAACATGAAGAACTACTTCATGATCTGCTCCTTCAGGGATGCAGCGAGAAGACAAGCTCTCCTGCCTGTGCTGCTGTAGTTGGTGGCCACCACGGACCAGCCGAAGAAGCACAACCTGTCCCGGTTCGCACCACCCGTTGGGGTGATCTGCTGACTTACCGACCTCCTGACCTACCGGTGGGTTGATGGATCTGTCTGGATCTGTGCGAAGAACAAAAGATGGTGGGGCTCTTTGGGGCCCTTTGCTCTGTTCGTAGCATCCTCTTGTTTCGTTCGTAGCTTCGGCCAGGAGTGCCCCGTTCGTAGCGTCCGATCGCAAATGGAGGGGTGGCGCGACGAAAGCTGTCTCGTCCATGTTCCTGCCCAAAGGCACTTGGCAGGTCCGCGCATGCAGAAGAGGGATTGCAGCTCTCGACCACCACTAAAGTTCGCCTACCCCCAAAGACACTCAGATGGAAATTGGTTGAAACGTCAACAGGAAATCATGCTCCGCGGTTCTCGACTACCGTGTTGCTGGCCATCCATGCTTGCTTCACAATCTTCACAAATCACAAAGGATATTTGCATCCAACAGCGACAGCGTGTCAGACCAACAGCAACCTTCACTCCTAACACCTCGAGATGAGGCCCGGCGGCCCAGCAGCCGAGCCCTCCACTCCACCGACCACAGAGCACCCCCACCAGAAGCCAAGGCAAAGAAGACCAAGCACCTGCGGTACCCACAAATCATTTTTCCACGGACAGCTGTTAAGCCTTCACCCACAACTCAAGGAATACCCGGGTTCACCTCCTCCGCGAAGCATTTGGATTCACCCGGGAGCAAAAAATATTGGCAAATAAAGTCCTGTTTTGGGTAGTTTGATTGATGTCTCCTGGTCTTTTCAGGTTTCTTGCCCATGCTTGCCTCTGCATCTTTTCTGAATCTGTTCTGCAATCTCTCGGTCCTACATTCTTTTCACCGAAGAGGCCCTGAAGAGACACCGATGGTTTCTACCTGGGTGCCTGGCACCCCGAACCGCACCTTGAGTGTGGTGAAGGACACCAAGCCTCAGACGGCACCATCGAACGAAGCCCCCGTTGGGGTCTCGAACAGCCTTGGAAAACCCATCGAACGAACCCCCTGAAGTGCTGTGCGCGGTTCAGACAGGGACTCCATCAAACACACGGCAGATAGCTCTTTTCAGCGGCAAAGAGCTCCATTCCAAAAATCATCACTCAGAAGGAAACGTGCTTGAAGAAGGAAATTGTAAAAATCCTGCTAGTGCCCTCTCGGATATCCTTCAGAGGCACTAGATGTGTCTGAAGGACATCTAAGCGCTCAGCCGAACCTAGGGTCCGCACCATCAACGAGGGTGCGGTCACCCGCTGTCTCCGACTTGTCAATGCCCTTCTTAAAGTCCATGTACCTCAGGTGTGAAGCAGGCGGGGACCTTCTATCTTCACACCGGGTCGGGGCTGCTGGCTTGAGCCAGGCCTAGATGTTGGGCGGGCTTGGTAGATGGGTCCAGTCCAAGGATTGGTCTAGAAACAGTCCTCCATAGTGACTACTACAATGGCAACTGCAACATCCATCCGTGTTCCCACTCTACATGAAGGGAGATATCATTTCATCAAGCTCTCACCTAGGCTTTTGTCCCCCATATCCATCCCCTTGAAGGCTGCAACCGTCAATGGAGTCTTGATCACCGGAGCTCTATCCGATCCATCTTTCCACCACACGACCTCGTTCACCCACCGCACGTGTCCCAAGCCAGATCCCACGCGAAATCCGTTGAAGCGGCGAGTTCACCAGGTTGGCCGCCGCTTGGATGGCGATCAACGCCACCAGCAGGGCGAAGACGCCCTGGGGCCCGGGGGGGGGGGGGGAGGGGTGGGGACGGGTGGGCGGAGAGAAAGGATGCATCCTGGTGTGGCACTCACGGTTCCTTGCTTTGGTCAGGAGATTCGCCTATATACCTTGACTTGTTCCACAAACAGATATAGTAGCTGGATGTACCTTGGCACGGATGGCGAGGATCTGCGAAAATCCAGACAAGGTCACTGTATGTCAGTGCGTTCCTCAAGGAGGTCCCGGCGCCCCCTGGAACTCCCCAATCTCCCGGCGGAGCGCGCGCCGTGTAGCCCGGCAGGGGATGCCGCAGCACCGACTTCAGCACGGCCAACAAGACCAGCTGCGGCCCCAAGATGGCGGGGAAGGTCCATGGCCTCCAAGGTGCTTGATTTACAAAAAGTTGCAAAACAATTGGGTTTTTACTATGTACCCTATGGATCCCTATGGCCTCCAACCTACTAGTGATGGTCTCCAACCTAACAGCGATGGCCTCACAAAACAAAGAAAAGATCTCAGGACACCTCAGAGAGAGGACCCATTGCATTTGACCGCACCCAACATCTTTGTCCTTGCATGTTTTCTGTCCAGGATTGTTTGTCCAATCAACACACTACACAGCGAAGATCGGGCTAGCTTGAGGGATACTTCTTGACTCTCGGCAGTGGGTACCTGAATGCTTACAGCCCTTCAGCAGGTTGAAGTAACACTTTCCACTGGAAATACACTCCAACAATTGACTTGGCAGGCCTTTCTTTCAACAATAATTTTCCTGTGACCCAGCCGCCGAGCGCCCTCCAAGCAGGGACCATGTTTTCCACAAAAAGCAAACCACGCCTCAAAGCTGTGATCAGACCCTCAAGGAAGGAAGGGCGTCCACCTAAGTCCTGCCGCGCTGACTGTGGCATTGACCAGGAGCGGAGGCGAAGCAGCGGAGGGGTGGGAGACCTTCTGTTCCATTCTGTTGGCTCCATCTTCTGGCTCCAAGTCATTGGACGTCGCAGCTGTCGGACGTCCAAGTCATTGGATTGTGCCCCAGCTTCCTCCAGCCCGACCTAAACGTGTCTGCCCGACCTCTCAGACAGCCTTAACTAGCAGAAAGGATGTATCAAAACGGTTCCACCAGCACCTGGGTGTGGGACCTTTTTCTTGAAATCTGAACAACCACTTGCACAAGGTTGTGGCTGTCAACACGCAATGCTAAATGAACTCAAGCGCAACTTTTCCATGGCGCGCTCGAAGTGAAAGGAGACTCAAGTGGGCCCAGCTTGACCCGAGAAGTGCCAATCCGTGCGATCACATGCTCGACTCTTTCACTGAAGGTTCTTTCTTTGGCAATTCTCGGAGCTGTGCAATCGGACCCTGAAGCCAAGTTCGGAAGGCTTCTTGCAGCTTTCGGTCTATCTTAGTAAGACCGTCTGCGTACATCAAGGTTGTTGGTATCCATCGGAATTGGTCTTCTGTGACCGTTTCTTGAATTGCCCTTATGTTGATCATGCTCCGTCGATCAGCCAACGAAGGGTTCTGAGCAACAACTGCATCGAATAAGCTTTTCGCGTCAGTTGCTTGAAGAAAATTCAAGCGACATCCGACACGATGGGCCGGAGTGGCAAACAGAATCTGGCTGATGTACATGTTGGCAAAAGCTGATCTGTCACTTCCTTCATCGGCCGAAGAGGCCTCAGCAGCAAGCGTGCTGCGGCAGATCCTTGGACTGCGGCATGACCGCCAATCGATCACACTGACTTTGCTTGGCACTTGGGTGACTGGAGCACTAGTCACTGTTACCAGAATTCCCAGTTGCGATCCTCCTTTGGCAGCATTGGCCCATGAAGCGTCTGTGTATGTCAACAGCACTGTGCCAGCATTCATGGCTATGTCTTGAAACAACAGGCCGTCTGTTGCTGTGCTCTTCAAGTATGCAGCCGTTTCATATAGTGTTTTCAAATGACTGGCATCGATGTTGCTTCCATTGGTCAAAGAAACAACTGCTGAAACATCTGGTCTTGCCTGAGTCGAGGCCCATTGGAGGCAACCTGATATTGAACGAAACTCTGTTCGTTCTTCAGGACTTAACGTCAAGTCAGCCTGCATGCGACCTCGAGCAAGGGATCGTTGCTCGATCTCGTCAATGAAGCTCTTCATTGTGACTTTGAGGGTAAAACGGCCTTTGGCGTTGCGAAGCAATGTGAGCTCTTTGCCCTTGAACGTCACTGCAACGTTCTCTTGGATAGTGTTGATGCTTCCCCATTTGAAGGCTTGGTAGACCTCCGAAGGGTCGTAGTCCTGTCTATAAGTTCCTAGGAAGTCATCAACGTATACCAAAATCAACGACAAAATCTGTCGATTCCCTTCTAAGTCAGGTTTTGTGAACTTCATGAACAACATCTTGTCAAAAGAGTGGCGTTCGTAGCCACATTTCTCCAGCCGGCCAACAACTTCTTGCGCCCATAGTCTCGGCGCATTCGGAAGGCCATAGATGTTCCCTGTCACCTGGTAGGCTTTTGCCTTCCAGCAATTGGTCTTCCGGATGAGACCATCATCCGGCGGCAGCAGGTACAATGGCAAGCTTCTCTCATCATCCGGTTGGCTTCCTTGCAAAAAGGCTGTGGAAGCGTCTGCTAGCCATCCGACCCAACTAAGTCCTGTGCATTGGACTTCTTGGTTCATGCCTGCAACCAAAAATAACATGATCACATGTTCTGACAGTCTACCAGGAGTAGGGGCATCGCGGGAGATACTAAACAGATCAGGGTCGTTGTGTCCTAAGGCTACGACACGACATTTGGCCTTGACTTCGCCAACATTGCGATTCTTGTCGCGATAAACGGCCCTGCTTCGGAGCAATCGTTTCCTCAACTTGGGGTCTGCTTTGACCCGAGAAAACTCTTCATCTGTCAACGGTCTGATGGATTGCCATTCCATCCATGAGCTTTCTTCTTTGCCTATTGCTTGGAGAAATTTGTCTATGTGACTTGGGTGCATCTTCATGATCTCTCTCCAAGGCAACTCACGATCCAGCTGTTTTCTTTCCTTTCGGGACATTGGAGGGCTGGTGGAGCTGGAAGAAGGAGTTGGCCTGTCTTCTTCATCGGATTCATCATCCGTTGTGTCTGGTTCATTGGGCTGTTTGTCGGTACCCTGGACGTCGTGTTGACGCTGGGTTGTGCTCAGGTAGCACTGGTGAAATTGGTTTGGTTTTGGTCCTTAGCCAAAAAGCTCTGATCCATCATAGCTGGTTGGCATTCTCTCGATGGTGCCCTCATCGTACACTAAGGTGGTGAGTGACTCGAACGTCCGCTTTTGCGGAAGGATCGGGAGTGCCTGGTGCTCTGCTGATACTGCTTGTGATGGAGACTGCTGTGTTGGCTGTTGCTGAACAAAATGTTCGGACCTGTTGAAGTGATCAGACAGGTGTTCTGTCTGAGGTGCATCTAATTGTTCTGCGGCCATGGAATGCTCTGGTGCTGGTGTTTCCTGAAAAACCCCTGTGTCAGGTGGCTCAGGCTGTACTGCTGGTGCGTCATCTTGACTATCCAGCTGGGCTTGCATGTCTGGCTGTTTCGCCAAATTTGTTTCGGGCGCTTTCGAATCGGAAGGTTGGTCTTGGTTTGGCACTGGCGGCAAGGCTGCCGGCGTGCCAGTTTGCTGGTCCATGACGACTGGCAGACTGGACGTTTGGTCTCCAGTCGGAGGCTTCAGCTGCTTGCTCTGTTTTGTTTCTACACCTCGTGACCGTGAACGGCCACGTTGCGATGGTGTACGTGGTTGAGGTAGGTCTCCAAATCGATATTGGTTCACCACTGTGTTCTGATTGAACTGCTGGTATGTCGGGCTTTCGATCTGGGTGCGCGCTTGGGCCATCTCCAATCGCACACTGGGGTGTCGTTCCACCGGCAGGGACGGTGGTGGTGCCGGCGTTGAAGGCGCCGGTCCAAGAGGCATGACAAAATCCTGGACTGGCTCGGCTGCTATAGTGCCTGGTGTGTCTGGCGCCATGATAGGATCTGGTTGATCCTCTGGCGGAGCTGGTCCGGTGTGGTCTTCCAAGTTCTTCTCAAAAACCTGGTTCTGGATGTCTGCATTGGCATCTTTCAATGCTTGTATGTCTTCTTTGGATGGATTCCAAGACTCGAATCCATATGCTGCTCGGAGCTGTTCGGCTGTTACTAAACTGGATGTGGTGCCACTTCGTACCCAGGCGAGTTTACCTGGAGCACTGGGATCCCATGCGAGGAATCTGGAAATCACCCAGGCGCCTCGCTTCTTTATGCCACGTTTTGTCCACCTCCAAAACGCACATGTTTGGCCTGGCTGTAGATCTGGAATGCCTGTCTTTCTGGTCTTTCTCAACATGGCTCTTTTGATGTGGGAGGACACATCGAGCTCAATGAGATGTTTTTTGTGCTTCTGCTCGCATGAGTTCTGCTTTGGCTGCTAGGTTGTCTGCTAGTTGCGGACTGGAAGCAAGTGTTCGATCATCACTCAGGATTCCGGCCGGGAGCCGTGGTATGCGTCCGAACACTGCTTGGTACGCCGTGCGTCCTCTGCTGTATGTGGATGAATTGAGCGCATGTAGCGCTGCCGTAAGTGCAACAGAGGCTTGTTCGTTGGTGGTGATGCTCCATTGGTCAACCAACTTCTCAAAAATTGTCCTTAAGACCATATTCCGTCTCTCAATCTGTCCGATGACCCAGTGGGCCTCTGCTGGTGCAAAGTCTAGGATGATGCCTAGACTTTCAAGTCTATGCCGACAATCTCCCAAAAAGGCCCGGTCCTCGTCTGCCAAGATGCGGTATGGAAGTCCGTACGGACGCAACCAAATCTGGTGGATGAGGTCGAAGACCTCACTGGAGTCTCTGGAAGGGAGAAGTCCTCCCTGGTGGAATCCAGTGGCGCGGTCAATCATGCCAAGGATGGGAATGGTTCTGGCATCAACGGTCTTGGTAAAGAAGATATCCATCTGCACCTGGTCACCAAATTGGCCAACAGCCATGGCTAGTTGTGGCATGGTCGATGGTCTCGCCTTTTGTGGAGGTCTCAACCTCTCGCAAGTTGCACAATGGAGACATTGGATGCATGTCATGACTGAGGCTGGTGCTCCACCATAATATGCAATCATTCTGGCCATCTCGGTGGAATTGGGATGTCCTAGGTTGCAATGTAATCTGGCGACCAGTCGACGACTTTCTGGAGGAATGCCGGCTGGCAAACCTGGGAAGGTGATGTCTGTTGGGAGTTCAGGCAAGGGCAATCTTGGGTTGTCCTCATCATCGTCTGGCTGCTTTGGCGCGTCGACATTGGGCACGGTGCCATAACAGAAGATGGCTAGACGGACTGGTTTTGCGAACTTCTGCTTGGGAAATTGGATACTGGCTAAGTCTTCGCATTCGAAGCTTCTGGAACTGTCATTATATTCCAAAAAGGCTGCTCTATGGCTGTAGTCGTAGTTGGCATCCATGAGAAGCCGTCTCATGGTTGGCTTGGACACTGCCTGGATGCGACAAAGATCCATCCTGGTCAACTGGTGGATCTGATGTCCAAGTGGCTCGGTCGGTTCGATGTAGAACGGACGTCTGGTGGTGTTCTGCCATCGTCTTTCGACTTCTTCAACCACTGGCTGCCAAAGTGTCAGGTCTGCAACTGGTTGGGCTGGTACCACAGCATAGACCATCTGCGGTAAGGCGAACCGGTATGGTTCAAATTGGTGAACCCATGCTCGGAGTTCCGTGAGAACTGCACAAACAAGATGGTCTGGGTAGACCTGGCTGGCCTTGGTCATCTTGCCTTGGATGGTCGTGCAGTATTCCCTTTGGGCTGGAGTGAGCCGTTTGTTCAAAACATGGTCTAGGCCTGGTTGGTTTCCGATAAATCGTAGGCCTTTGATGACAGGTTTGTCATCTATCTCTGCTCCCCATGCACCGGCATCCGTCGTTGAAGTCCACACTCCATAGTGGCTCATAAGTGCTTCAATGCAGGGAAGTGACCACAGTCTGCTTTTGACTGGGTTCTCTATCAAAAACAATCTTCCTTCTTCCATCTGCAACCATGCCAGCTGAGCTGCAAACTCAACCAAAACATATTCCTCCTCTCTAAGTCGTTGAAGCAGTGCTTGCCGCTCTGGAGAGGGATAGTTGAGGTTTTCATTGAACAAATTCCACAACACACAGCTGATTCCCATGATCAGCTTCCATGGCCTGAACTTCTTGACCATGCCGATGATCATCTGACGGGTCTGGGGATGTTTGAAATCCTGTCCGAAGTTCAGGTCCATAGGTTGCAGAGCGTTCAACCCAAACTGGCTGGCAAACAAGGTGAATTTGGCACTCCCGGCAAACAATTCAAAAACGTCTATGTTCGGCGGGGGGCCGCTGGTGGACTGTCATGAAGCTGTGGTAGATGCGGTCCTCAGCCTCTAACTGCTTGCAGCTATGCTGAATTTGGCCTTTCAACCGTCGAGCTCGTCCCACTCGTAGCTCGACTCCAAGTCCTCCAGATCGGAGTGGATAGTGATCTCCCTGTCGGAGTCGCCCTTCCTGAAGTTGGGGTCTTGGAGGTAAGCTCTTTGTTCTGCCAGGCTCCAACTGAAGAACGGGTCGTTGTGGTAAATGTGGTACGCCAGTGCTCTCTGATCCTCGGGCGTCATCTCTGTGGGCCATGCGTCCTCGTAGCCCGTGGAAGGCTGTTGTGGAGCTTGGGATCGCATCTGGGACCTGGAACTGGACCCGCTGGGATGATGCTTGGGCTTGGCCGTGGGCTTGCTCTTGGGTGTGGTGCCAGTGGGGAGAACCGTATTCTCCGGAGACGGCATTGGCAAGGGCACAGACGCTGAGGACGAGCTGTGCGATTTTGCGCGGATTTCCCACACTCCTTGCCCTTGGTTCCATTTGAACACGGCTTGGCATGTCAGGCACTTTGCGAATCGGCCGTGAGCATTGCCGTACCTCTTGCACTCCTTGTGGTCGCAATCCCGAACTCTCGGAATTGGCTCTGGCATCTTGGGTGGAAGCGCTGACAAGATCTCCTGAGGCAAAAGGCTGAGGCGGACTGCCGCAACCATTGCCCTGACGGTCTTCTTCATGGCCGTCATCAGAGTCAAAACGACCTGCCTCCAACTTCGAAGCCATTGAGGTGGTGTCTGCAGCATCGTCCGGAGAGCGAATTGAGGAAGTCGTGAAAGCTTGAGAAAGCAACACTTCAGGCGGAGGAGATCGCCAAATGCTCTTGTCAGAAAAATGAGACCACACAGGCGACCGATTGACGTCTGGCGGAAATTGCAAAATGTTCACAGCTAGTTGACCACAAACAAAATGAATGGGAACTACAGTGTTCAGCTTGCCGACATGCATTGTCATATCGACTAGCGAAAGCACGATGTCAAGCTCTCTCATGACCGCGTGACTGACCAACAAAGGAATTTCAGCTTGAAGAACGCAAACTCCCAAAAGAAAACCACAGAACTCTGTCTCTTGCAAACCAATGGGAAAATACTTCTTGTACAAGGCTCGCTCTTGTTCACCCTTTCCAAACTGAAAAACATCTGTCGAAGGCACCTGCAGTGGCTTCAGCTTGAACTGGTGCAGGAGCTTCTCGAAGCTCTCGGCCCACCTGAGGCCGGCGCACGTTCGTTGACAAGCTGTGTCCAAAATCATGTAGTGCGACAACTCATCAATGGTGTCATTCCCGAGCACGGCCTTATTCACATGAAAGAGGGCATTCACAGTGAAGAGGTTCCCAAACGATTCCTGGTCGTTGACTTCCATACTGCCGTGCTCGTGGTGGACCACCATTGCTGAATTGGGCTTCCTATAACCGGTGGACTGCTGGTTGGAGGTCTTTTGCAACGATGGTTTGCCCTTGAACTGGTTTTGGGATGGCTGTTGACGGGGACCATCTTTGCCTCTCTTGGTCTTGTCGGCCATGGGGCACTCAGGGTCCGAGTGCCAGTGACCTAACTGACCACACGCCCCGCAATGGGACGACTTCTTCAACTCGGCTGGGCTCTTTTTCCCACCAGAAAACTTACGTCCAAGAGTGAGTCCACTGAGTCGGCGGGCGGTGACCGTGAGGACTTGCGCCAACTCCGACAAATCAATGTCGTCTTCTGGCTCTTGACCCTCGTCCTCATTGTCTGGGACGTCATCCTCATAGTCAACCTGCTCGGCTCCATCAGGAGCCTCTTCGTCAACCGTGGGCAAGGCTGTATCCGGAGGGGCGTCGTCACTCACTTCAGTCACAAAAACCTTCCGATGGCTTTTGAAGCCGCCTTTGCCTGAGCTTGAGGCTGAAGCATTCGAAGGAACTGTTGAAGCAGATGTGGATGCGGATGAGAAACTCTTTGTCGTCTTGCCACTTCCTTTGGAAAATGGGACAACTGTACCATCTCTGTTGTAGATGGGAGGAGCACCGCGATACTCTGGCCATTGCAGCAACATCGCATCAACTATCCTAGAAAACTCCATGCTCTGGTTGGTGCCCACGAGAATCAACCGTTGGCTTTCTTGAGACAACTTGCTTCTATCTAACAGTCTCGCGCCCCTAGCTTCGTTGTCGTACATCAGCGACACATCGATCCCCACCGATAACAGGTTCTTTTCTGCCCTGCGGTATCTATTGGAGAACGTTCGAAGATTTTCCCCACTGTATCTGCTGATGGATTCATACTCGTTGAGGAAGCATCTCTTCTGATATACAAGTTTCTGTTCCATAGGCCCCCTGAGCTGTTGTAAGATGAAGTCGATACCACCGTCGCTATAGATCTGTGCAACATCGGCATGCTCCAATTCTTGTTCAGGTTCACCTGTCAACGAATTGTACAGCAGTAGAGAGGCCTCCTTCTTTGAGCAGTAGGGTGCGACCTGAAGCTCCCACAAGCGGACCTTCTTCTCAAACTTGGGCCATGCTCTGATGTCGTCTTTCTCGTACTTCCACAAAGGGGGACTTGGCGGGGCTCCACTCTTCCAGCGAACACCTTTGGAAGGTCCTTGTGTTGAGGACCAATCAGGGTAATCCTCTTTCGGTTTCACCAGCTGGCCAAGTGCCTTCAGCAACTTGCTATCTGGGCTTGTCGAAGAAGATCCTGCTGTTTGAGTCTTTGGCCTGTCGACTGAGGGCAACGGCCTGATCGAGACCGGATGATCATCATCCATCCAACGCCTATACGCATCGGCAGTTGTAGCGCCCAAGGGCGCATCCGGATCAACAGTCGGGTCGTCAGTACGCTGTTCGGACTCTGCCCGTTCAGCATGTTGATAGGGCTCTCCAACTGGGTCAGGCGGTTGCTGCTTCTTGCGACGACGTCGTGAGTTCTTTGATGGCTGTGCCTGAGGAGACTGTTCTTTGGGGATGTCTGCAGCTTCATTCGCAAACGGGACATACAGCCAGGTACCTGATTGACCAACTGCCTTTGTCGACCGGTCTGTTCTATAAAACTGTGTCCCAAAGCACTTGCTACAAACCCAGGCATTCTCTGAACCGAACCATTGGTCAGAGTTGCAATCCAAACATCTCCAAGACACGGGATTGGGCTCATGAAGGTGGATCGAACTCGATGACTGAGGTGGTGCAGAAACGAAATCATGGGATCGCTCCAAGGACCGATGATCCACAAGGTCAGGAAGCGAATCGGGATCCGACACCTCAGCCATAGGCTCCGGTGCCAACTGAACAACCACTTGCACAAGGTTGTGGCTGTCAACACGCAATGCTAAATGAACTCAAGCGCAACTTTTCCATGGCGCGCTCGAAGTGAAAGGAGACTCAAGTGGGCCCAGCTTGACCCGAGAAGTGCCAATCCGTGCGATCACATGCTCGACTCTTTCATGAAAGAATATTCACAAGAAGATGAGCCTCCTCCCACAAATGTTGAATCAGAAAATCATTGCTCACCATCAACCTACACAAATCCTCCTTCACCAGATGTTCTGTTGAGTTTCACGAGAGATATGCCCCGTCTACTACCAATTTCCTCCCTTTCCGCTCCCTCCCCTTCCCCAGCGCCGTCTCTTTTTGCGCCAAGCGCGCTCCTGGGACTCGTATTTCGCCAGCTGCTGCAAGATGGTCAGGGCCCCTACGATGCTGATGTTCTTCAAGATGTGCACGGTGCGATTGCGCTTCTCAGCGGAACACTGGATGTCCCAGAAGGGGTACGGGTCCTCGGTCGACGGAGCCGGGTGTCCGGGACCTCCCGGCGGAAGAACCAACGGAGCGCTGCGGCGCTGCATTGAGTTCAACCAGGAATCACATCCAGCGTTTGATGGCCAACACAGGGAGCAAAATCACAAGGCCCTCAAACCCATAAGATGCACCAAGACCCAATGCTATTTTGTGGGAGGCCATTGCTATTAGGTTGGAGGCCATCACTATTAGGTTGGAGGCCATTGCCAATAAAAGGACAGCAAATTCGTTTCCATGTGTTCAACAATCAACCCAGACTGCTATTTTTTTTAACAATCAACCCAGACTGGGTTGAGGCCTTGGTGTACAGCGAAATGAGCACGTCTTGAGGAGCGTCTGAGATGCGTCTTGGTGTTACGCAAACATGTCTTCACGTGCTTCAAGTGAGTTGGCAAATGCGGTCAGGTCTTCCAAGTTCACTTCCTGCGACAGCCGGGGAGGCTCACCTCTTCCCGTGTGTCCTTCCATCCGGCAAGCACACAGCCGTTGAATTCGTTCGGACCCCTTGGGGAGCATGGAAGATGGACCTGCACAATGCTTGCCATCGATCCCCCTATGTCTTTGCAGGTCCTCGTCTTGTGAAAGAAAAAAAAAGAAGGTACGGTAGATCCATCAGCATGATCAATCGAATGCATTGGGCGTGCAGCAGCAAACATCAAGAAGAAGCAAATAGTTGATCAGTCAAACCCAACTAACCAAACAACCCCAAGCAAGGTTGGGGGAAAAAAAGTCCCACTCCACGGCAGATTCCACGTTCCGCCAAACGTCCAAATCCCAATAGAGCACCCCCTGTCGATTGATCCACCAGGTCCAAGTAATCGTTCCCATGAAGACCAGCATCATCGAGGTCCCTCGCGGCGCAACGCGCAACATCGGTCAACATAGACCGGTCAGGCGTTGGGGGTGAAGTCTCGCATCGAACTGATGATGTTATGTTTAGAGGCTTGTTCCTACTAATAAGGCACTTTGCTACTAGCAAGAAGCTACTAGGATCAATAAGAACGCTGGTCTGCAAATAATTGACAAAAGCCTCAAAGCATGGGTCTAGGAAAAACGAGGGAAACAAGATAGGAACGACCTAGCAGGTGTCCAAAGATCCAAAAGGGAAGCCAATGGCATTGCGGCATCACAAACAAAATTGAAAATAACCTGCTACATTCATACGGAAAAGTGAAGGCGAGCCAAATAGAGATGAGATGACAAATGAAGCTCCTGCTGACAGCTCACTTTATGCCTGATTCCCTATCGAAAATACTAATCAAGTGCATGAAAAGCAAAGCCATGGATGTGCCTGAATGGTTGACTGTGAAAGAGATGCCAGACACGTTTCCATGTTGCTTTGATTGTGGTGATTTGCTTCAATCAACTCTATATTGTTTCAATGATTTGTATTTTTCGGATGGCTCCTCCCATCCAGATGATGACATGATGAGGCACTCTGATCTCATCCCATCACCCGCCATCACCCTCCATCACCTCGGCAGGCCTTTCGTGAGCGCCGTGCGCCCTGCGGTGTCGAAGCCGGACACCAGGACGAAGAGCGCACCGAAGAGGCCGAAGATGATATGCACCAAGTGCAAGCTCACGGCAAACTCCTCAAAAAAGAGAAGCTCACAAGGTCATCCCAAGGTCATCCCAAGGTCATCCAGTCCACAAAGGTCATCCCAAGGTCAGATCCCAACTTTCGGAGGCCAGTCTGACTTGAAAAGGCAGCCGCTCAAGCTGCTCTTTTCTTGCTTTAAGTCTAAGAAAAACATCGAGTCCTGAAGATCCTGAAGTGGGAGACTTTGGGATGCAAAAAGAGTTGGGCAAAAGAGTCTTTGGGATTTCAAGCCAAGAAAGTTGAGAAGGAGGGATTAATGTAAGGAGCCCCCTGTCTCTGCTGGTGGGAGGAGATTTGTCGTTCTATTCATTGTGGATGGATGTAAGCTGCAACCAGACTGGCTGCATATTTAGCAAACATGAGCAACATCCGACAGCGGGTCGCTTTCTCCATGTTCGCACGACCACACCACAAGATCGGTCCAGGACCAAATCGCGGGTCGTTTCGATCCTTCCAAACCGGGCACGGGCACCAGAGCCGATTCGGCCGGGATGTCGGATGGGAATATTGTAGATGGCACATTCAGAACATTTCATAGACATCCAGAATGTAGGGCACGCATTCCTTAATTAGCTTAGGACCTAGAACATATGGTGTGCAACCAGAGATTAGAGGGGAACATGGCACACGGACATAGAAAGTCTGAAGCATGACCCACAGACAGGCTCAAGTACCCTGCTGTCCTATCTGACAGGTGCTTTCTTGTCACCAATCATGCAGGGCTTTTTGCAAACCGGTTGCCAAACATGAGAAGATGCTACTTCAGATTAGCGGCATAAGGAAGCGGCTTCACAGCAGGTATCACCATGTTGTCCACCTCGAACTCAAAGTGAATTGCATGCAGCACATTTTCCACGATGAAAATGCCCACAAAGGCTAATCTCGCCAGAAAGTCCTGCAGGATGTCCATGTTTTCTTCATATCCCGTGTTCATCAGACTTCTAGATATTGACCAACTGCAAAGACCTCTTTCTGCTCAATCAAGCTGAATTGAAGGTTTGTGTCCCTTTGAGTCTTCTCTTCTCCAAGATGAAGCCGGATTTGGACCTCCAAACAACCAACTACAAAAATGGCAGCTCCGAGACAGTAAAAAAGATTCCACGTCCCGATTCCATGGGTAGCTTGACGATGTTTGGGGGGGGTGATTGCACCCTGAACCTGGGGCGGATTCCAAGCGGATTC